AGAAAGGGGTAATGCGGTTATTGGGCATGCTAAAGTATTTATCAAGGTTCATACCGAATTTAGCAAAAATCACTGCACCCCTCAGACATTTGACATGAAGGGATGTGGACTTCTTATGGACCGTAGAGCATGAAGATGCTCTGAAGATTTTCAAGACATTAATTTCCAGTGAACCAGTTTTTGTATACTTTGACTCTCGAAGACCTCTTGAAATACAAACAAACGCTTCTCAAGATGGCCTAGGATGTTGTTTGTTGCAGAGTGGGCAGCCAGTGGCTTTCATGTCCCGTTAATTGACTGATACAGAGAAGAGATATTCGCATATCGAAAAGGAAACTCTAGCTATAGTTTTTGCTGTTGAGAAGTTTCACAGGTTTATTTATGGCTATAAAGTAACAATTCAGACAGACCACAAGCCGCTTGTAAATATCTTTCAACAAGATTTGCTGATTGATTTTGATTGGAAGTAAAGTACTTACCTGGTAGTAGCCAACTTATTGCTGATACGTTGTCAAGAGCAGTTAAAATGCACAGAAATGATAGTGTCTTCAGAATTTCAAGTACACAGTTTAACAAGTTCATTGCCTATGACTGAAGAGAAGAAGAAATTATTCCAGCGTTACACTGAAGAGGACCAAGAAACTGCTATTGTGAAGAGATACTGCAAAGAAGTTTGGCCAGAAAGGAAGCAAGACACCCCAGAGATAGTACGCCACTATTGGAACCAAAGACATATGGTATCTGAAGGAGATGGTTTATTTTTTTTTTATCACAAACTAATTGTGCCACGACAGCTACGACAGGACATGCTTCAGCGAATCCATATCGCGCATGGAGGTATTTGAAAAGTGCAAAGCTAGGGCTCGACAAATACTTTATTGGCCACGAATGGCTAAAGACATTGAAAGTTTTGTGGCTCGTTGCAGGATATGTGAAAGGTTTTCTAGGAATAATGCAAAGGAAACCCTTATGCCGTATCCTATACCTACTAGACCATGGGAGCGTATCGGATGTGACATATTTTCATATGGAGGAAATGTGTACTTAGTCATGATGGATGCTTACTCAAACTGGTTGGAGCTGGTTAAAATGCCATGTAAAACAGCAACGTCTGTAATATCAGCATGCAAAGACATCTTTTGGTGCAGTAGAAATAACCGAAAATATAGCTTAAGGTGGAACTAATTGCAACAGAAATGATTCTTGCTGTGAATGGTAGGTAGTATGCTTCTAATCAACATACTAAAAATATACATCCGTATTGTGGCGCAAAATACGTTTTTTGGCCGCCATCTTGAAAAAAGTGTCAAAATTTTAATATTCGTAAAAATAACTTTTTGGGTATCAAATTATAGGAAATTTAATGCTGAAAAATGTTATAATAGTGGTTATAAGCCCTATTTAGAAATGCGATCGTAGTACAAAATACCCCCGCCGCAGCAAAACTGCAGATTAAACGAATTTCCATTTGTCTTAATTGATTTTCAATTCAATCTAGTAATTCAGTTTTAAAATATTTGTAAAACTAAATATAGAGTTCTACTGGACCGATTTTATCAACTAATGGTTCATTGGAAAGCAATTCGTGTGGATTTACAAATATTTATGAAAGTTTGATTTTTTTTAAGATTTGCTAGGTGAAACCCGTCAATGTCGACAATAATTAGCCTAGGTACTGTTGAGGTTGCAAGCAAAATCTTTTTAACTATAAATCGATGATAGATAACTCCATTTTTAAACAATTTGGGTCGTTTATGATTTAGCAGTGTGCTTTAGGTACGTCCGATCTCAATAATCAATAATTCCAATGGAATCTGGTTTTTCACTGAAGATTTAAAAAAGATAAAAAGATAAAAACATATAGGATAATGTAACTGCTTGACCTACATTTGAAGTAAAAATTCCAATTTAATTGTTTTCGTAGGGTAATACATTTGATAGATTAATGATGACAAATATGTGCTTACATAGCTTTGAGACCACAATTATAAAAATCGGTCCGGTAGAAGAGCCAAACTAAATCGAAAAAAACGAATTTAACTCCCGTAACTAATGTACAGGGAGGCAGTTTGTGCATAACTCAAAATATACGTCAAAATGAGTGCTGATGCTTAATAGCAAATCTATGGTGCGTCCATAGCTTTAGTTTAAAGCCGAATTTACACTATGTAGCAAAACCTGCTATATAACTTTTGCTATATAACATTGCTTTATAGCTTTTGCTGTATGAAAAATTTACAAACAATTTTATTGATTCTGGTGCTCGTGCTATATGTTATATGTAGCACAACCTCATTCGCATTCCGTATCGAAATGTGCGCTGAAGAGACATTGTTCGTGGCAGCTATCGTGGTGATCTTGGAAGTCAGAGAGAGAGAGACAGACAGGAGCGAAGATTTTAGCAAGTTTTAGGTTTGACCGCTTCTTGCTTCGAGAAATAAGTACAGCGTAGCAGATTTATTACGGGATCTTAATGATGATGAATACCCTGACAATCCATAATTAAAACGCTAAATAAGGCGACGGTAAATTCAAAAACGTTTTACGTATGATCACAACACCGGTTGTCCACGGAACTGTTAAATTAAGTTTATAATATCAATAGCCCCAATAATATAATCCCGATCCTAAGCACTGCCACTTTCCGTTTCCAGTCCTTCCACTGTAAACAAAAATCGCTGAGCAAAACCGTTCAGCGCTACATATAGCAGATGCTAGACGAAAAATATATGTATATTATTGCTACATATGGCAATGTTAGATGTAGCACGTATTTCTTTTGATATTTACCGACTCCCGATGGATAGCACAATTTTAGCTATATATAGCAGGATCTGCTACATATAGCAGTGTTATATAGCACTTTTGTAAAGTTACTTTTTCTACTTCTAGCAAATGTTATATAACATTGCTAGATGTTACACAAATCTGCAATGTAGCAGGTTTAGCTACATAGTGTAAACCCGGCTTAAGGCCATAATTATGAAAATCGGTCTGGTAGAAGAGCTAACCCGACTCGGAAAAGAAAAACCAATTATTTTTATAGATGGCAATAATTGATTTACAGTACCAGTATGCATAATCTAACCATACGAAAAATGAGTTGATAATTTAACAGCTTATTGTTATATTGTTAATTAATTAAATTTTCTTTGATTAAAGTGATTTTCTTATGTTAAGTGTGTGATTCTAATGTTATGAGCTTAATATGTACCAAATATTAGTGAGTAAAGTGGTGTATGGATTTCATAACCATTATTTTACTAGAGACCATTGCATTAATTTAACCACAATGGGCTCTGTTGCTAATCTATTAAATAAATAACATTAGGTTTAACGAAACGAGTACCAAGGATTGCTGCTACAAGGAAACCAATTAAGTGTGTTTTTACTAAAATATTATTTGCTTAGTATAAAATAAATAAATCTTCAAAGTTTTATCAAAATATATCCATAAACAAGGAAACTACAACTTTTTACCATATTCTCCATAAGAATAACATGGGGATTTTAAATTTCCAATTTTTTAATTTCCCCCGTTACTAATAATTGTACGAAACCCCTTTGATATACTTAACTATTTGTTTTTTAAGCTCTTTAAAAAGGTATAGAGAGAAATTGGGAAATTTTACGTTTTAAGGGTCAAAAATGAAAAAAAAAAACAAATTTAAAAAATATAAAATAACTTATAAATAAAAAACTTTTCAAATGCAACGTTTTTAAACGCACCTTTTTTCGCCCATAGTGCATCACTGTTAACAGTATATTTTAAATTAAACGATTATATTCTTTTCCAGCATGAAATGTTCTATAATTTGATAACAAACCAGATTTTTTTACAATAATTTAAAATTTTACACTTTTTTTAAATGGTGACCAAAAAACCGTATTTTGCGTAACAGAACAAATGTATATTTTTGGTATGTTTTTTATAAGTGTATTACCTACCATTTCTAACTGGAATAATTTCTGTTGCAATTAGTTCCACCTCAAACCCTATTTCTACTGCACTATTTAGTAGATTTGGCCCTCCTGATATAATGGTAGTGGATAATGTCCCTTACAACAGTGCCCAAATGAGGGAATTTGCCCGTGAATGGAATTTTGAAATTGTGACACACAGCCCTGGCTATGCACAATCCAATGGGTTTGCTGAAAGGGCAGTTGGAATGGCCAAAGAGTTGATTAGGAAAGTACAGTATGACAATAAGGATTTGAAAATGGCTTTATTGGAGCTTAGGAACATGCCCGTTAAGCATCTGGGATATTCTCCAGCTCAGCTGATGTTTCAACGCAGGTGTAAGACAACAATCCCTGTTACCGAGGAACTGCTGAAACCGACGCTGAATGAGGGAGTACAAGACAGGTTAAATACAAGACAACAGCTGCAGAAAAAATATTATGATCGGTCAGCCAAAGACTTAAGGGTTGTAAGAAATATCGAAAGAGTTGTCTTCAGAAATGAAGGAAGGTGGGAGCAGGGAAAGATTATTAATCAAGGACCAACTCCAAGAATTTACTGGGTAGAAGGTGACAACGGGGCTACATTAAGAAGAAAGCGCCGCCATCTGAAACCATCACTCACTCAACAGAACAATTCCCAGTCAGTTCCAAGGTAAGATGAGTCAGTACAACTAAGACCTCGTAGAGAAATCAAGCTACCATCAAGATTTCAGAATACAATATAATGGTCTCAAAAGAAGGGAGAAGTTTGGTTGGTTATTATTTTTTGGTTATTGTTTTTAGTTAATTCATTCAAATTTGTTTGCTGTTTTTTAAGGGGAAAGATGTATTATAATGTTATATTCACATATTATCATATGTTAAATGAATCATATGTTAGTTGGAGGTAAACAATATCAGTCATGTTTATGTTTTAGTCCGAATGGGCATACGGGAGGGACGATGGCTAAGGTGTGGTGACGTCATATCTCTAGTGGCTAATGCCTTCTCTTGAGGCAACACGATTACCGTAACGAGGCGAGGTTATTCAGCCAAGCATGAAATCCTGTCCCACAGCTGCAATGGAGGCAATACTCGACATGCTCCCACTAGGGCTGGAAGTTAAGAAATGTGCAGCCATATCTGCACTAAAAATGGGCAGCAGAGGCGAGCTGAATCTACAGAGGCAGTCTGGCCACCTGTCCATCCTGAGGGGATTCCCAAGCATGGACATGGAACTAGGCACACCAGACCTCATGACAAAGGAATACGACTTTGAGATTCCTTACCAAGTTGCAATAGGGGGAAGAGACAACTGGCAACAGTGCAACTTCAGCAATGACAGAGCATGCTTGGTCTATTACACCGATGGAAGTCGGAAGGATGAGAGATCAGGGCTGGGAGTGTATGGTAACAAAACCAAAATATCTCTGGCCTTGGGCAGAACAACAACAGTTTTTCAATCAGAGGTCCTGGCGATTGAGTGCTGTGCTAATAATATTATTAGCAAGAATCTAAGAAAGGGAATATCAGGAGAATATCCTTATTCTCTCTGACAGCCAGGCAGCATTGAAGGCGCTGGGGTCATATGTTACACAGTCACGAACAGTAAAAGGGTGTAAAAACACCCTCAAAAAGTTAGCAGAGCGAAACCAAGTCAAATTGTCTTGGGTTCCTGGACATTCGGGGCATGAGGGGAACGAAAAAGCCGATGCATTGGCCAGGAAGGGTGCGGAAGACCAACTGTCAGGACCAGAACCCTACTGTGGTACCCCCATAAGCTCAGGAGTAGCCAAAGTCCAAGACTGGGTCAAGGTTCAAAAGGCTCTGGCCTGGATGAACCACCCAGGTATGAGGACGTCCAAATTACTAATCGACCCCACTGATAAAGGTTGGAAAGACTTGCTGAGCCTTAAGAAAGGGGACATTAGTCTGCTAGTAGGAGTGTTAACAGGGCACGGTCCTATCAGGAAACATCTCAGGACCATAGGGAGGTCACAGATAGACCTCTGCAGGTTCTGTGAGAACGAGGTAGAAACCTCAGAACACTTATGGCTGGACTGTCCAGCGTTGGCCCATAGAAGGCTTATATCTCTGGGGAGGTTATTCCTGGAACCAACAGAGATAAGGAAGCTGGGTGTCTTTCAGCTCCTGGGCTACTTGAGGAGCCTAGGGCTGTCAGAATGAATTAAAGGGTGCTACAAAAGGAGGTCCCCAGGCCGAAGTAGCTAGGGGTATGCCACTCCCAGCCCCCACAAAAAAAAAAAAAAAACGAGGCGAGATGGTTCCAGCGGCTTTCGTGGCATAGTTGATAGCGCATCGGACTAGTGTTCAGGAGGTCTCGAGTTCGAAACCCGTTGGGAACATTAACTTTTTGTCAAAAATTTTGCTTTATTTGATTTTTGTCTTGTATCTTTTTAGCGAATTTCCCATATAGGGAATAAGCTATTACCGTAGGTCTCATGGTAAGACCTAGACCCGGGACCGATTTACTTTTTCGTTTTGAGGTCCCCAGAGGCCAAAAATACCATCCGTTCAAATTCATATATATATATATATACCGGGTGTCCAAAACCACCCGTACACCCCTTTAAAAACGATGGAAACCTTTTCTTCCAAACAAAAAATAATACAGAACTAGATAAATTGGTCACGGTCTACCAAATGGTGATAATTTAAAATCCAAAATCACACCGGAAGTTGCTTTTTTAGACCGGAAGTTGACTTTTTTAAATGTAAACTACCAATTTTGATCACAGAATCGGATTCTACGTTGAAAAATACATAACTTTTGTCTAAAACATTTTTAGAGAAAACCCTTAATCCCCTATTAAAGTCAATAACTTTGGTCCATTCATCTGTCAAAGTTACTTGAAACAATAATAGAGAAAATCAATAACAAAGATTACATAAAGACATACGATGAATAAGATCAGCTGTTTATTGTAAACACTATGGTAATTGAGTAACAACTGGTGTACACCTTGCTTAGTTACATTTTATTTTAAAAATAAATCGTTTGTTTTTACATTAAAGTGGTCAAATGTAAAAACAAAATGATAAAATAATGATAAAAAAAATAATTTAATCAATTTGTAGACCAGCTGTTACTCAATTACTAAGGCGTTTACAATAAACAGCTGATCCTATTCATCATATGTATTTATCTTAATCTTTGTTATTTATTTTTCTCTATTATTGTTTCGAGTATCTTTGACAGATGAATGACCCAAAATTATTGACTTTAATAGGGGATTAAGGGTAGAAAACAAGTTTTTCCTAAAAATGTTTTAGGCAAAATATATGTATTTTTTAACGTAGAATCCGATTCTGTTATCAAAATTGGTAGTTTACATTTAAAAAAGTCAACTTCCGGTCTGAAAAAGCCACTTCCGGTGTGATTTGGGATTTGAAATTATCACCATTTGGTAGACCGTAACCAATTTATCTAGTTCTGTATTATTTTTTGTTTGTAAGAAAACGTTTTCCTCGTTTTTAAAGGGGTGTACGGGTGGTTTTGGACACCCGGTATTAAATATATTTATATATGTGTCCGTTAGCGCGATAACTCGAGCAAAATTGATCCGATTTTGATGAAATTTGGTACAAACGTGTAAACCTACATTTATTCGAACGAGTTCGCAAACCAGCATAATCGGACCATGGGATCAGGGGTTTATGGGGGGTTTTATGGGGTAAAAATGAGTTTTTCTCATTTTTGACCCTAAAAATTTAAAATTTCTAAATTTCTCTCTAAACCATTTTGAAGAGCTTAAAAAAACAAATAATTTAGTATATTGAAGTGTTTTTGAATGTTCATTGACTACGGAGAAAATTTTAAAAATCGTAAATTTAAAATTCCCATGTTATTCTTATGGAGAATAAATAAACTAGTTTGCTAAATAAATTTCTAGTTTGCTTGTTTATGGATATATTTTAATCAAATTTGGCAATTTGGTTTATTTCATACTAAGCTATCAATATTTCAATTGAAAAAACACACCTCAACATCTTCCCCGTAGCAGCAAACCTAACTACTCACTCAAATTAATGTTATTTAAATAGGAAATAAATCTGAAAATTTATAGGGAATATTTTAGTAGAAATCAAGCCGGGTAAATGGAAATTCGCTTAGTATGCAGGTTTGCTGTGACGGGGGTATTTATAATTTCAGCAAGTTTGGTTGGTTAGGTTAGGTTATGACAGTTTAATTTTATAATTAAAAAGTTAAATTTATAACTAAAAATTATAAAATTAATTAAAATTTTTCAACTTAACGGTTCTAGCGGCGAACGCTGACATAATTTTAGCCATCGTCCCTCCCGTGTGCCCCACCGTGTTTTAGTCTGTAGTGGAATTGTAAATAAACTTCTGAACTTTAAATGTTTAAGCTTCTAATTTTATTTATATTTTCTAACTAAAACAATGTGTATAATAGTTTTGCCTGCATAGGCTATCTAGAAAAATTCTAACTTGAAATACTAACAAACAGACTGTATATATTTCATAGTAAGAGATGGGTCTTGAGAGATGGGTTGGTCTTGACCTAGGACCAACTTAGTTTTTCGTTTTGATGTTCCCAGAGATCAAATCACTATTTATTCAAATTCATATGAATATGTATAAAGGGTAACAAAAGAGACAGTCCATTAAAAATAGCCATTACACATCTGTTTTTGTGCCAATTATAACTTTTAACACATTCAAACATTTAACACTTACCATTTTGTAAAGTCTTGCATTTAAAAGCAATATTCACTACAGTAGACTCTCGCTCATCCGGATCAGCCTTGTCTGGACTCCCGCTAGTCCGGATCGGCAATCGTGATTTTTTTTTTAGCGGCACAGTATTATCAAATAAAAACGTAACTAACTTTACATTTCAACGCCTTCATTTATTGTGTGAGCAAGCCTGCATCACATTAATGGCATACATTTTACGAGAAATACACATTGTACCTAACTTGTTTTATACACTCCCGTTTGTATTAGCGCAAGTTTTGACGGAAAAATTTACGAATATTTGCTCGACTTTCGACAGTTCGGATTTTTTGCAATCCAGACCGGACTTCCGCCACATTAGTCCGAGTGAGCGAGAGTCTAATGTACTTCCAAAAAATTGATAGCCAAACTTGTAACATGTCCATAGCTCATGGAAAACAATGTCAGCCAGGTGAACAAGAGGGTATTTCTTTCACGAGGGTTTCAATCTGTTTTGTAGAGTGTTCCAATTAATGTCTCATGCAGAACCTACGATCTAATTTGAAATGTTTATTTACTATTGTTTATTCAAAAGATAATGATTCACAATTAGTAGGAAATTTACGTCTGCTAATTTGTTGATGTAATATTTGGACAGAAGCTAAGTGGGAAACTCTATCTTTTAAAACCCAGGTAGAATGCTGTTGTGTGGATTATGACATTCACCTCAATTTGGTTTTCAAAATTCATAAGAGTTTATATCCTATCCCGAACAAAACTTATCAAAGAACAGCACCAACATCATCAGATTCCTCAATTAAACAGTTCTGTAAGATGTGAAAAAGCTTCCTTGTAATCTTCTTACTTAGACTTCCTATAGTATGCAGGCTTTGTTACTAAAGAAAGTACGGGTGACCATCATTAAAAATATTACTTAGTTATAAAATGGACCGGTCGCCACAGTCATCCAACCAATCAAGGATGGATGACTGTCACTAAACCAAATGTTACCGAGTTGAAGAGGGTCAGTCAAAGCAGTCACACAGCCAATCACGGATAACTAGACTCAATGTTACCGAGTTGAAGAGTCACAGCAGTTACGCAACCAATCAAGGATGACTATCACTAGCACTAATATTGCTGAGTTGAAGTGGGGTAGCCACAACATAGTGGTAGTCACGTAACCAATCATGGCTGGCTATCACTAGAACCAATATTGCTGATTTGAAGTGGGGTAGCCAAAGCAAGGTGGTAGTCACGTAACTAATCACTGCTGGCTATCACTAGAACCAATATTACTGAGTTGAAGTGGGGTAGTCACAGAGCATGGTGGTAGTCACGTAACCAATCACGGCTGGCTATAACTAGAACTGTTGTAAGACTAGTTTATTTCATAACACCTGTTCATTTCTATTAATTATAATCATAATTAATTAATTATTTTTTATTGTATCATATGTTTATTTGTTATTCTATGTTTGTAAAAAGGTAAATAAAGTTAGTTGAGTTTGAGTTATGACATAAAACAGTGCATCCACTTAATTCTTAGTAAAATAGTACATGGTGGCAGCGGTTTAGAGCTATGCCTCAGAAGGGAAATCCAAGAAGAAAACAATCTGACTATGAAGATAATGAAAATGAACAAGAACAAAATGAAAGAAGCACAGAAAATGAATACAATAATTCAACTAAGAAGTCAATCATTGTATCAAACACTCATTCAGTTATTCAACCTCCAGCTAGTTTCTCCTTTATACCAGTAGATTGGCCAAGATGGAAAACACGATTTAAAAGATACCGGTCAGCATCTGGGTTATCTGAAGTGTCTGAGAACAAACAAATCAACACTCTGATATACACATTAGGTCATTATATACATTGATATACACATTAGGTGCCCCCAAAGGGGAGGTAACTGCTCGGTGTTGGTATCGGCATTGTCAAGTAGGCCACAGACATGGACGACTGGGCATTGGGTCCCAGTGACATTCTTTATCCAGGATGGAGGGGTGTTTAGCTCTAGGAGAGATGGAAGTGCATCATATTCTCTAACCTACCTGTGTCTGTGGTTCTCTGGGCTTCGGCCTGCTTGTTGTGTGCGACCAGCATTCAGTGTGGCAAATCCTCGACTTTGGAAGTAGCCTTTCCTGGAGGTGAAAACGGGCAAGTACCCGTAGCTCATGGGGACACTCAAGGGCAACGTAACTTTCCGCAGTGTGAGGGTAACGGTTTGTAGGCACTTATGCAAACCAATCCCTGTCTCTGAGCACGGACGGTATGGTTATCTTGAGTGTGGGGGGTTTTTCCCGGAACCTCAATTGAGTCAAGGGTGTCGCCACCTCTGGTGGATAGGTTCATCCGGGTGGGTCCCACTTCTATACCTGCCTCCTTTTGGGAAACCCTGATGGCCTGGCAGTGATGTTGGGTCTGACGGGCAAACGAAGTAGATCGGGTGCTGGGTCCGAGCCCGCCAGGGGTATCTGGGG